ATAAAGACCTTAATAAAGTCTGAGAGGCAATCTTCGCCCTTAAATTCCCAAGTCTGCTCTGTCTCTTGGGTCCTACCCTCCCAAGGGTTTTCTAGAGCTAACACCATTGCAAAAATGTAATTTGGTATGTGAATCCCAGTCTCCTGCATGCATTCAAAATCATAAAAAATGTAACCCTCCCCTATTTCAGGTTTAGTAATCTGGGGCATAAAGCACTGGTGCTTGTCTACATCCTTGATCTGCCCGTAGCACTGTTTGCATTGCCTCTCCTTACATTTGTGGGTTTTATCCACATAAGATTTACACACACACACACACACACACACCAGCTCCTCTCCAAGTTCAAAACACTCACCAGTGGCTCTGCCCCCCCAGAGACATCTTCTTCTCCCTCAGCATCCAAAATGAGACACCCCTCTTCTCCAGAATCATCAGCATCTACTCTGGGCCCTTGGCCACCAAACATCTCAGGAAACTCTTGGCTTAGGCGGCTACTCTCCTTAATCTCCCCCTCTTCAGAACTGTCGCTACAGTAGCATTTTCTTGGCAGACATTTATCTGGTCTTTGTGGTAAAGCAGGAACAAAGTGTCTTACTGGTGTGGTGTAAGAATTCATACTTGCTCCCTGTGAAGAGACAAAAGAGTTAACACAGGCCCCCCCCATTACTGTAGAAAGCCGCCCCCCCTCCAAAATAATTCTAGGCTAGTTACCTCAGCAGAGTCTTTGGGGTTGAGGTTGTCTGCCACTCCCAGGCTCTCTGCCTGTGGCTCTGATGCGGTCTGTTGAGGGTATGCCACGGTCCCCGGATCTGTTTTGGGAGTCCGGGAATCTGTCTCAATCACTGAGATCTCACCCATAGTGCTGTTGAGAGAGGTCTGAACAGTGCCTGAGGCTTCCAAAGTGTAAGAATCCATATTTGTTTCTGTCTGTATTAGCGTGGTCTCAGAAAACATGCGGCCTAGTTTGGAGGGTTTTCCCAACAGGATTTAGACAAGAGACAGGCCAGGGACTGCCAGCCTAGGTCCCACCCCCCACCCCTATACTTGCCCCCCTATTGGCTCAGCGGCATTATGGGGTGGAGGAGTTTCCCGGTTAAGGAGTGACTCTTCTGATGTCATAGGCCATGTGATGGGAAAAGGGTGTTCTGGGATGGAACATGGCGGTCAAGATGGCCACCAACATGGGTCCCAGGCAGCTGGGCCTGGTGAGGTCACAGGCCATGTGATGGGAGCAGGGTGTTCTGGGATGCAACATGGTGGCCAAGATGGCCACCAACACAGCTGCCAGGAGGGTTCAGGGGTGAAGTTTCTGGTGGCAAAGGTCAGGGGTTAGGGGGAGGACTTCCGACCGTAAGATGGCGGCCAAAGATGCCAGCCAAGATGGCGGGCAGGGGGCGTGTCTAGGGGGGGTTGGGGTGGAGCTAGGATGGGGCCAGGGGCAGGGCCAGGGGCAGGGCATCTGTCAGTGGGCAGGGCTTGTCAGTTTGACAAGATGTGTACCCTATATACTACTCCCCACATTACCCGGAATCTACTTTTTCCCCCCTGTACATTTAAAGAAGGATTTCTTGTTATCCTTGATCTGGGTCGCTAGTCTCAGTTCCATCTCTGCCTTGGCCTTCCTAAAAGTCCCCCTACAATCCTGAGCAATGGAGGTATGGTCCTCCCTGGTGATGGCCCCTCCCTTCCATTGGGTGGGATTAAAGGGTCTCCTGATTCAATTCGGATTTGGGGAATCTGGCCACCGAATTGGGCCAAATCAAATCAGCAACCAAAGTTTTGCACAGCCCTACTGGGCATGTCTACACCTTCATTAATGTGCCTTAGATACTGATCATTTAGTTTAGTACTTGCTTAATGAAGTACTAACTAAATGTGAAGTAACTAGATTTACTGCGCAGTAGCACCAGTGCATGGTTTTTTTCATGACTTTTTTGCACATTAACCTAATAACACTGCACAGTAGGCTACTGACATAGGTTTTAACTGCCACGCTACTCTGCAGTGTTATTAGGCTAATGCACAGTAAGTGTCTCATATAGTATTACCCAGTGGGTGTTTCTCACAGTCATGCTTTATAAAACTGCTAATAAGTGATATTTACAATAAGAAATTGATTCAAATGGCCAAATACACATACAATTCTGAATGCATTTGAACCTCAAATTTTAATTTAGACAGATCTGTAGTCAACATCACCATTTCAAAATTCAATATTAAGTTCTGCTTAACAAAAGACAAGGAGGATTAGATCTATTAGTAGGATATGTAATCACGTATACATAATGACCTTCAAACCCCATGGTAATGAACATTATGAAGCCCACACTTTTCTTTAAATATAGTAGGCTCCATAAGCTTCAGACCCTTGTAAAATTTTTAAAGACAGTACAGTGCAACTGTGTGTGGCAGGGGGTGGTGGAAATGGAGGTACATCTGTACCAGGCACCCAAGCTTGGAGCCACCCCCTCCCAAAAATCACATAATTCTATGCTTTTTGTTTCCAAAATGGGAGCTGGGGAGACAGGATGCTGTCAGGATATATCTTGCCTCCAAGTTTCTCTTATGACCCCTTTGTGAGAACATTTTCAGATCTTTTGTTAGACTCAAAACCAGGTTAACAGTCTTAGTTTATGGTCTTTTCAGCCAGATTTAAGCAAAAAATAGGAACTGACCAGATATTTAAGATCAAGTGAGAACAGATTCTAAATGCATGAAAATATTAGAGTCCCAAATCCAACAGACTGATAAGAGCTAGAGCTAAGTAAGCAGTTATTTTTAAAGTTTGGGGTGGGTGGGGGGAGAGATGGACATTTAAAAAAAAATCACTTGGTGACTTTTTTTGTAAAACATTTTTAAAAATCTAGAGCAGCACATCTACGTTCTTTGAGTTTTATGAGTTAACAGTAAAATTAATTTGGTACTTTCCTGGTTTGCAATAGAATAATTTAAGAATAGGGATAACTGCCTAAGGAAGAAATGAATTTGCCAAGAGTTTGAGCACTGAATTGTAAATTGCTTGGAATGATTAACTGAGTCACACAACTCTGCAAATCTTTGTTAAGGTGAGAATGACATTATGAAAAGATAGATTTGGAAATGTTTGTTAAAGGCATCTCAAACAGATGGAATACCAGACATATTATGTATTTTCAAAACAAAACAGAAGCCCTATGTAAAGCAGTTGTTATAAATAAAAACAAACTCTATTTTAACATTTTGGATACCTAAAACTTGGAAAGTGTGCAATTTCTGGAAGGGATTTTTTTCAGTATATAAAAACAAGCTTGCACCTGTTTTAAATAGGTTCATTTGTGGTAAAGACAAGAGTGGCGAGGTGGGAACATCCCAACCAGCTATAGTGCTAGTCTCGCACCTGCCTCTGGGCATGCCTCCTGCCTCATTTTGTTGCTAAATAATTGGGGTCTTAATTAAGCAGGAGGCTTCCCTTTGCATGACCTGTTCTCCTGGGCCTATGTATGCAGCTCCAACCATCCCTGTATGCATCCCAAGCCTCGCAGATGTTCCTAACAGCTGTGCTCTGCTCTGGCCAGCACAGTGTTAGGCCTCTCAAGTTCTGCCCTATATGGGCCACACTCATACTGCCTCCCTCTCACTGAGGCCTCTCTCACTCCACCACCGCTTACATGATCTCTCTTTTATTGCCCATCATGCCCTCACCTGGAGGGTCCTTGGGCTTGTTTCCCTGCACCCCCCGGCCAGCAAATGTGCAGCCTCTTGAGCTTCTCCCACAGCCCTCATCTGAGCGAGCACAGGACAGCGTGCCTCTGGTCTCTCGCCGGGTCACTCACCCAGCTGCTCTCAGTCAGGGGCTCCTGACTCACCCCGTTGTTTATTTGTGGCTCTTCCTCAGGTGCCCCACCCAAATTGTCCTCTGGCCCACATGTGGCCTCAGGCACCTGAAGACTTACCTGGACTTAACTCAGCCCCCATGTTAGCAGGACCCACCCTCAAGCCCCTTGCTCACCAGGGCCCACTTCACACCCCTTCCTCACAGGGCCTCATCTCAGGCCCCATGTTTTCAGGGCCTCACTCCTACCCCTCTCTCTAGGGCCCCCCAACTACCACTCTGGTACAGGCCATTACGTGCCCCTCTGCACCCCACTCCACACCCCTGCCTCCAATGAGGCACATACTCTGCACCCTAAGCTTGGGTCTGGGGTCAAACACCCCTACAGGCTCAGATGCCACTCACCCTCCAGGGTCCTATACCCCACACAGGCTCAGGTGGCTGCAGCTGTGCCTGGCGCCATTCTCCACTGTTCAGGGTCTTGCACCCTACATGGGCTCAGATACCACAACAGGGTGTGCCTGGCCCTCTCCTGCCACTGATGATAAATAACACACCTGAAGTTGGGTTTGGGGCTAAGGAGCCTCTCCTCACATTTCACCCGGGATGTAACTGGCCTGCCATTTCCTGGGGGATCCCATGCCACTAGGAGCCCCACCAGGCCACCCTTCCCTGGCAGGGTGCAGTTTTAGGTCATGCCCAGGACCAGGAGCCTCCTAGCCATCCCCCTAAGCTCCTGCCCTTTCCTCCTACTGTTACCGGAGCAGCAACTCCACCAGGAGATGTTGTTTCCTTGGTGCCAGGCGACAGACTGCTGCCTCCAGCCCTGCTGGCTAGAATGTTAAAATGGACACTCATCAGAGCTGGGGCTGCACCTGCCGGTTGCCTCTGCATGCTCTTAAAGTGGCAGACACCAAAGGTGCTCTGCCACAGCAAGCAAGTGCATGTTTACCATCTCCCTCTTGGAATTCTACTTAAATTTCAAGTTAGATTCTATAAGATGTATTGATTGATTTAATGTCTTGGCTGAACCCCTCTTTGTCCAGCATCACATTATCTGCCTGGTTGTCCTAGGTAGCACAAAACCCTATTGTGACTGATGGTTATGTTCATTTTGCATAGCTGTGAATCTCATAAGGAGAAGTGAGTTTCTGTCAGATTAGGTGGAAAAATGGAGGATAGATGGGGAATACTGGGGACTGATGGTAGCATGGAAAATGTTTGCATGACAAGTTGCTTTGTTAAATATGTATCAGATCCTGCACTTACAGAAGACAATAGTAAAGCTCCTATGGCTTCAATGGTGCAGGATCAAAGGCAAGGTGTGCCTGTAGCACTGATTCCCTGGTGACTTGATATCTAGGCTTATAATTTTAGTGTCTTTTCATCATTGGAAACCTTGGCCAGATTCTGATTGTGGGAGTTAACAAGTACAGTCTGAAGGTCTGGTGCTAAAACAAGTCTGTGTCCATGAAGGAAACCATGCATGACATCTGTTTAGAACTGGTGAAATTTATACTAATACCGAGACCTGAACACCCTTTAAATGCCCCATAAGACCATGTTGTTCCCCTAAATGTGGTCACTCAGTATACATGTTATTTTAACAAGTAGTCTTAATCCTTAGATTTCATGAGCATTGTATTTGCACACTATTCCTTCAAAAAGAGACCTGCAGGACATGCTTTAATATCAACCATATTATTAAAAACTCAATTAAAGAAAAGCCATAGTAAGCCTATGAATATGCATGGTATTAAATATCACTGTACAAATTTACACTTCTTCTACTCTTCTCCCCACCCCAAGAATGGTTCTGAAAAAATTGTCATGGCATTTTAATTTTGAATGCAGCCCAATTAATGTGCTGCTCATATTTCTTAGGTAGAATAAGCATTGCAAAACACATTTTTAAGAATCCTCAAAAATGCTTCCAATCAATATGCAGTACAGATCTCTTCAGTACAGCAGTTATATTATCTTGTGTGGCACATGCATGGTTACCAAGGCAACCAGTATCCTTCAACCAAGTCTATTATTATGGCTATTACAGGCTTTTAGAATCTCTGGTGTCCAAACCATTGCTCAGAGCTGGTTGGTGCTAATAAGCTTCAAGTACAGATGCAAGCAGAAAAGCATAAGATACAGCAAACTCTTCCTTCCTGACAGATAGATAGGATGAGAAGTAAAGGTGGCATGGGAAATTAAATTCAGTCGACTAGGGGGCAGTAATTCTTATATAACAATCTTAATTAAGACACGCAAATGTAGCGACAGTTCATCACAGACCTTCAATTCCAAAGATGAATCATTGTTTCAGCATATCTGATGGTGAAGAATAGCTGTAGTATTAATTATAGGAAAGCCAGAATCTTTTTGCCAACCTATTACACTGAAAAATTATTTTTTCATCACTGTAGGTACCAGATGTATGTTTATGAAAAATAACTGAAGTAAAAGTGCCGGTATTAAAGTATTAGCAGAATAAAGACAAAATATTTAGATGCTACCCTTGTCTGTTATCTGTCCGATTTGAGGAGTTTTGGCATGTTATAATTGAATTTATAATCTCTCCAGCATAAACTGAACTTGGTTGATATAAACCATCCCAGGATACTCTGGAAAAGATTTCACTATCAGTAATTGCCCATATTCTTTTTTGTACTTAAACATTTCCACATCAAAGCATTATAAGAACCTCATTATGCTCTGTACAGCTTATTA